GATCAGTCGTAAAAAAAACATCCGTTAGAAACCGTCGCAAAAGTCTATCAATAAGTCATCAGAAATTCATCGGAAATCACTCGAGAATTCATGTTTTCTTCCAAATGGTTTTTGTAAGATTTTAAGTCCATCAAAACGGTATCAAATGCCACAATTTATCCGGTAAATGTTAAACGTGTTAAGAATCATCGTCCACATTTACTGGGTAAGACTCTCGGTCCTTCGCCTTCACCCTTACCGGCTAAAATTGTTGGTATTTGTCATATTTATCCAGTAAGGTAATGTGATATGGTAAACTTTACCCGGATAAACGTTTGGTAAACGGCACAATAGCATACTTTATTGAAAATAAGTTTATAGGATCAAATTATAAAGCTTCCTATCTAAAAAGTGTTACAATAGTTTTATAGGACGCGTTTAGACATTTAACATGGTTTTTAGAACCCTTCTTAGATAAAATGTTGTATTTAGGACACTATTTGAAAAAAATGTCCTACAAACATAATATCATATAAAAAGATTGGTTTATAGGATCTTTTTCAAAAGTGTCCTATAAAATAGCTAAAACGATACTTAAAAAACACGTTCTAAAAACTTGTTAAAACACCTAAAAGCAGCCTATAAACCTTTTTTAGATAGCACACTTTATAATTTGCTCATATAAGCTTAATCCTATAAAATATGCTATTAAAACGCTTAAACACTTTAAATGTCCTATAACTCAATTTTATTGTAGTGGATGGAAATGGCCGTCAACAATAGGAGTCCCTCTTTTAATAGTGTTGTAGAGCTCGAACACGATGAACTAAAGTACGAGAGGAGAGACAAAAGATATATTTGAATAAGAATATGAAATTGTTGAGTATCGATAATTAAAGTCCAAGTACGTAATTTTGTTTTGAGCCTCTAAGAGTTCAATTGTCAAAATCAGGAACAGAATATGATTAAAGAGAAAACGACAAATTATAGAGGCAAATAAAAAATATATACTTTTATCTTCTAATAGAAATCATGGTGAGACCAAAGGGCCTTTGGCCTAGCGGTATGCAAGTCATTGGCCTTTTAGGAGGTCAAGGGTTCAAACCTCATCAAATATGAGAAGGATGTGTGAGTTTATTTGTTCTATTTGCCGTATATAAATATTATATACTTAAAAAAAAAGGTGAGACATAAATATGCTATAAATTAGGTTTCGCAGAGGTTGATAAAAGACACCAAACATGTAAAATTGAGGCCAAAAGTTTAAAGACCTTTGTTAGAATATCACATTTAATATGTTAAGAAACAACCCTGAAAAATAATAACTTACATTTTATTGTTATTTTGTTGGGAAATTAATTAGAATAACTATTTCTCACAGCTGCATGCCTCTTAGTCATTTTTCTCTCAAAATTACAAAAAAAAGTCATAGGTACGCAATTGGCAGGTCCGTAATTTACGAAGAGATCAAAGTGTAAAAAGGTGAAGTTTCTGAACCAGATCCATATTTACAAGGACCAAATATGTATATTAGTTAATAGGTCCACAACACACTCTCTCTCTCTCTTCCATATTCAATTATGGGAAGAAGATTCTCATAAGCAAATTCTAAGCATCAAACTAACTGGAGTTCATGCTTTTCTGCATGAGACAAAGGAAGCACAAATTGACTTACTCGGCGGGAAGGGAAATGAAAGACTTGTCCTCCCTCTCAAAAGAAGGTTATTTTCAACTATAGAAAAAGAAGAAGAAAAAAATATATATATACATATATATATATAATTAATAGGCTTTTTCGCTTCTTCGTCAAGCTTTCRAGCAGCTCTTTCAACTGCCGTCTCAGCAACTGATATAATTACAGATCTGGTTCATAAACTTCAGTCTTTTCTTACACATTGACCCCTCTTAAACTGTTGACCTGCCAAATACGGAACCTATGACTATTTTCGTAATTCTAGAAGAAAATAGTTAAGAAGTAAAATCCTATAATCAAAATGACTATTTAATTAATTTTTCTATTTAATTTATTTCATAAATTACCTAAATCATAAACTATGAAAGTCAATTAAGTGTTGTGATTATTTATTATGCTCTATTGTTTTTCTCTCTGTTTAGTTTGACCTTCAAATTATTGTAATTCTTTGTACAAATCTCTTATTAAACGACATTTAATATTGAAAAAATATTCTATTTTTAGCGTCAAATTCAAACAAAAATAGTATATAAATAAATATTCTTCCCTTAAATATAATTTGATGTTTTATTATTAATATCAACATCTTAATGCAAAATTTAATGTGTTTATGGAAAAGGTATTTTGTAAGAAATATATGATCTTTTTGCTATGTGAGAGGTGGGAGCACTCATGGGTTGGGTTGATCGGATTGAAGACATTTGAACAATACAATTTAATGTTTACGGTTTGAAATTTTTTAACCTAATTCTACCCAAACCAAAGTGCAACCCAACCTAACCCAAACTGTACGGGTTGGTCAGGTTAGTCGGGTTGATACTTTGGTACATTAAAATATTATTTTAACCTTGAATATGTTATTTCTCTATTCATAATTTCTTTTTCATCATCAACCATTTAATACAACATATATATATTTCTTATGTATATCACACAGTTAATTTTCTCAATTTATATATATATGTTCATAGTTACTGAACATATATACGAATGAGTTATATAGAAATGTGAATAAATTGAAAATATGTGTATATGAAAAGCGCACGTGATAGTGTGATTGTCTAATGTATATATTAATATAAATTCAACAATCATATTAAATCCAAGAAATAAAAGAATATCGGGTTCATCGGGTTGAGTTGGGTTGGGTTCAAATAATAGCAACTCAATATCAACCCAATACATAAGGTTTGAAAATTTTACAACTCGATTAGACATTGGGTTGTTTCAGGTTTCGTATTGGGTTGGATTGATCGGCTTGGTCGGATTTTTAAGCACCCTAGTGAGAGGTATGGAGTTAAAATCATTTGTAAAACAAGACTCGTCCTTTTTTTTTTTGTTGTGTGAGATGCTTGGAGTTGAAATTATTTGCAATTATGACCTTTTTTTTAGAGTTTTTTTTTTTTTTTTTTGAATAAAGAAGAAGGTGTTGGACACTAAACAAAAGAGGTTTACTGATAAAAAAATCCGTTGAAAAAAGCCATCACCGACGGCTACTGACGGTTCTCATGGTCGCCTGCATGAAGTCGGAATCGCTAGTAGTCGCTTTGTCACTACCGACAGGTTGGACAATCTGCCCGATGATGGTCTATACATCCATTTATGACATTGTCAATAATCCGCCAAAAATCATTTAAAAATTTCCGCATTTTCTAAAAGCCCGCTTTATTTAATAGTATGAATTAATGGCATTTATGAGAATAATTGAACAATAGTTGTGAGAGGAAGAAAGCCAACGATAGTTATTAAGGTGAGATGTACCAACATCATGAAAAAAAAATGCAATTTATCTTTTTTAATCCATGTTTTTTAACACATTTTTTAATCTAAAGAAGAATTAAATAAATGTATATTAATAATTAAAATAATAATATCACTGTAATAAATTTGGATTTGTAATATTTAAAAAAATGTCTAAATATTTTAATACACTACAAAATAACTGATTTTTACCGATAAAGCTAAAGGTCAGATATGTCGGTGATCCATCGGTGAAAGTCCATAGGAAGAAATGTTATGGGAAAAATTATTATATCCGTACGACCTCTGTATACTCTAGGAGAATATACATCCGTCAAGCTTCCGTTTCACAAGAACGAATTGAAGTTCGTCATCAGTTAGATTTTTATTTTTGAAATCTCGCTTCTTTTCTAAGCACACGTTGCAAAAAAACCATACACATCCTTGCAATTAATAAATAATAGATTAATGTGACATTATAACAAAATTGATTTTATATGACACTTAAAATGTAACATTGTCCTAAAAAAATACTTTATAGGACGAAAACAAAAAGCATCAGACCTAAAAGTGTTACAATATATATATATATATATATATATATATATATATAGGAAGCTCTTAAACGTTTTAATAAAAAAAGTTAGGTTTTAGAATAATGTGTCGTATTAACTATTTTACGACACTATTTGAAAAAGTATTTTATTAACAAAATGTCCTATAAAAAGACAAGTTTTTGGAGCATTTCTAAAAAATAACGAATATGACATTTTATTTTAAAAGCGTCTTAAAAAAACTTGTTATGATGTCTAAAAACATCCTACAAACCTATTATAATGTTTTCAGATAGAATGCTTTATAATTTTGTCGTATAAATCTAAATTCTATACAGTGCACTATGAGGATTAGGGATGCTCATGTGTTGGTTTGATCGGGTTGAAGTCATCATGAACAATCCAATCTAATGTTTGTGGTTTGAAAAATCTCGACCCTACTCAAACCAAAGTGCGACCCGATTCAACCCAATCCAAACCGTACGGATTGGTTGGGTTGATACTTTGGTACACCAAAATATTCTCTTAACCTTGAATATGTTATTTTCTCTAGTATACTCATAATTTATTTTTCACAATCAACAATTTGATACAACTATCTATACTTCCTAAATCTTAAGTATATCAATTTATTTAATTTTCTCAATTTACATATATATATATATATATATATATTCACAATTACTGAATATATATAAAGGAGTTATATAAAGATAGTGAATAAATAGAAAATATATGTATCTGAAGAGGGTATGCGATGATGTAATTGTTTAATGTACATATTAATATAAACTTAACAATCATATTAAATCCAAGAAATAAAATGATATCGAGTTTATCGGGTTGGGTTGAGTTCAAAGAAAATTAAAGTAACCCAATATAAACACAATATTTATGGTTCGAAAATTTTACAACTCAATTAAATATGAAATTATTTCGAGTTGAGTTATTTCGTGTTCGATTAATCACCGATGATTAGACAATGTACCGGCTAGTAAAAAGCCATTGATGTGAACTTTGTAGCACATAATTTTATAGCGAAATAATTCGAAAACATATTATTTCATATCCATAACAAAAACCACAAGCAAAGTCTGTGTACACGGAGACAACATGACCAATACCATAACAACGAAAAAACACACACCTTTTCACTTGGCTAACGACTTGGGGATGGCGACGAGTTTCAGATGATGTTTGAGCGATGTCGAAATCCCTGTGACTTCTGTGATATCAAGCTCATGGGGTTTCATTCCATTTGGAAGCTTCCAATCAAAATGATACAAGAAATTAGCAAGCGGGAATTCAACCATACTCAGCCCAAACGTAAGTCCAGGGCAAATTCTCCGGCCGGCACCGAACGGAATGAACTCGAAGTCTGCACCCATGTAACTCACTGGACTGTTTTCGAATCTTTCCGGGATGAAGCTTTCGGGGTTTTCCCAACTGTCGGGATCTGTTCCGCATGCCCAGGCGTTTACGATTATCTTAGTCTTGGCCGGAATGTCATATCCGTCGACGTTGCAATCCTGCCGGCATTCTCGGGGTACTAACAATGGCGTTGGAGCATGTAACCTTAGTGTTTCTTTTACTATCAGTTTGAGGTAATGCAAGCTTTGTAAATCGGTCTCTGTGATTACATCTCCCTTCACAACTGATCTAACTTCTGTTTGTGCTCTTTTCATCATCTCAGGGTTCCTTATGAGCTCTGTCATCGCCCATTCAAGTGTTGTTGAAGATGTATCAGTCCCAGCAGTCAACATATCCTGCATTCATCCCAAAATATGTAAGGTGTTTTGACATCCTGTGAACCCAGTTTTGTTGTAACAAAGTGAAAGCATTCAAAATATGGATACATAGAGATACCAGAATAACGGCTTTGACATCGTCATCTCTGATGTTGAAATCCAGGCCACCGGTCTCTTTGACCCTCAGGAGGACATCAACCAGATCTTCTTGCTCGTTGTTCTTTCTTCCTTCAGCTCTGTGTTCTTTCAAGATGTCGTTCATTATGCCATCAAGCTGTTTCTGCATCTTCAACCACTTGGCTTTCTTCCCTGAGATGACATTCAGAAACTGGAGACGAGGATAATACGACGCCAGATTGAAAGCACTCAAAGTTTTCAACACATCGTACAGCAGTTCGATCAGCTTAGCCTGGTCTTTGCAGCTATCTCCCAGGGTGGCTTTACAAATCACATTATTCACCATCTCTATCGTCATCTCCGTGAAGTTTATCGGTGTTCCAGATTTCGACTCGAGAACCTTACCTATACGACGAAGCTCCTCTTCTCGAATAGAGCTAAAAGATCGAACCTTTTTCGCACTCAGAAGCTCTAACGTACAAATCTTCTTCATTTGCCTCCAGTATTCACCGTACGGAGCCCACCCGATGTCCTGAGCTTTATAAAAGAATATTTGGGACGTCGTGGTGGTGGGTCTGTCAGCAAAACTGATATCGTTCGTCTTCATGATCTCACGAGCCAGTCGAGGTGTCGACACCACAACAGTCGAGACTTGGCCGAGCTGTAGGTGCATAATGGGTCCATATTTCCTGGCCAAGCTTCTAAGAACTCGATGTGGGGTTGGGGTTTTGAGTTGGTGGATGTTTCCGATGATGGGTAGCTTTGGTGGTCCTGGTGGCAAGTTTTTGGAAGTCTTTGGTGTTACCAGAGCCCAAAAGGCGAACAGAATTAGAGAAGTCACAAGGAAGGAGACGATGGTAAGAGGTTCCATGATTGCTGGTTGTGGTGCCTGGTTTGGTTGCCATGGGGGATCTCATATTTATAGTGGCACAACATTGATTAGTAGCAATCTTGTAGAAGAAACCCTACTATTTTATATATTTTTTTATTTGATTCACAGAACGCCATCTTCGGGTTTCAATTTTGCAGCAATAAGTGTTTTAAAAGTAGTATTAACTACAATCATTTTGATAAGATGACTAATGAAGGTTAGATGATGGTATACTTGGACAGTATAGATTTACTGCTATCACTATTATACAAAAAAATTACAGAGTTTCAAATGTCAGGTTGACCCAAATGTCACTACATCTGCAATATCCAGTTCCGTAATTTGTGAATCTGGCTAAACGACCATTTTTTTTAGGGAATCGACCCACATCCACAATTTTGCAGACGTGCCACTCTTAGGAAATTAGTTTCGTAGTTTCTCACCGAACAAGCAGTAGAAGAAGAATAGGGTTTTGATTGGTTGCTGAGATGTGGCACGTCCACAATATTGCCGATGTGTCATTGCGGATGTGGGCCGATTGTGTAAAAAAATTGTCGTTTAGTTAGATCTGCAAGTTCCAGATGTAATGACATTTGGATTAACTCGGAAGAGTAATCACTAGGAGACTAATTTAAACAGATAAAATAGTTATTCAAGTCATTTTCACTTTTAAAAAATTATTGTGTCCCAAAAAAAAAACTAAGGGACCGTTTACGTAAACACTTATCCAGTAAGTACTTACTAGTAAAATTCAACACCATCGCTTATTTACCAGAAAAGATTTTATCCATTAAAACGCATCGTATGGAACAATTTATCCCGGTAAGCGCTAACCATCGTAAGAGTCATTGTTCTCACTTACCGGGTAAAACTCGAGATTCTTGCTTTCGCTCCTATTGGGTAAGATTATTAGTCTTTGTCATATTCATCTGGTAAAGTAAAATGACTTGGTAAGCACTTACTCGGATAAGTTTGATAAACAACACCTAAGATTCATTAGATTTTTACTTCTTTTAAATTTATTTTTAAACATTGTTCACATTTTCTAAATGATTAGTAGTCAAGATTGATAGTCAAGATTGGGAGTTAGAATGTGTGATTTTGTTAAAGAATAAAAATTGAAAAATATAAAACGATCTAATATTCTTATTATCAGTTTTATTTTTCATGTGATGTTATTTAAGGAAAAAAAATTATCTCCTGCAAACTATTTTTATTCGGATATGTCATAAAAACTATGGTTGTATATATTGTAAGCATCTCTAATCATGCTTTTTATATTTAAATTCATATAACTATACTAATAAAAATGTCTTTTATTATATTTACTCCAATCATATTCTCTATATTATTAGCTACATATTATTAAGAATTTATTATGTATTTTAATAGATGTTATTTACATTTTTTTTAATTAATAATAAAATAAAAAACAACAAAGTAGTGAAATTGTAATGTACATGTTCCCCACATGTCGGGAGTGAAATATTGTAAATTAGTGTAAGGACCCAATGTACGAAGTGTTTTGGAGTGCTCATGATTTTAGTTCCTTACAGAAGTTAATGTATGTAGGGAGCCATTCGGATGCTTGAATATGACGTTTTTTGAGTAATTTACAGATTTGGTCATTAAGGTATGTCAAATATTATGGATTTGGTCTCTAAGGCAAACGAACGTCTATCTTCTTCGTTAAGTAAGAGGGTGAATTAGTCTTTTTAGTATTTATCTTTATTTTAACATGTTTTCAGACCACGGGAACGAAAACTATAATTAACTGTTGATCATCTCTCTCAGTGATTTGATGATGATCGATTTTATCTATCGAAGTGTATTATCTCTATATTGAGTTTCAGCAATCATTATTAAGTCTGTTTAGTGATCGTTGAACATGTATTGTAATTCGTTCAGAGATCAGTATACTTCAAGAAGACAAAACTCATACTACAGATTCTTTAGCGATGTCGAAGATGGAAGCTAAAGATTAGAGACCAGCAAGTTCGTGATCTGAAGCGGTTTTCAGTGATAACAAACTCGTCTACACAAGTGTGAAATATGCACAAGATTCATCGAACACTGATGAGACCTTCACCGTCATTCCAGTGTTCAGCGATCATATGAATCTTGTCGAACAAGATTGTTTTTATCTTGATCTTCTGCATGCAAAGGAAAAAATCCATACCTTTCAAAATAAAGCATTATACGGAGTCACTCCTTTGTCTCCAAACGTGCTTACCTATTTTATGAAAGAAGACTGTTCATATAGGCCAAAAGGACTGTATACTGCAACAAATGACAAACTTTACTCTAAAAGCATGTCACGTGCTTTGTACCTTATGATTTGCATTTAATGCAATGGATATAAATAGCTGAGTAGTTCTTTTCTCAGTTATCATCTTCCTTCTCTAAACTTATCTAAGAAGATAATTCTCTCTACTCTCTGTCTAAGAGAAAAATCCACTTTAACAAGTGAATAGCACGTTACTTCTTATCTTATTTCTTGTAGCAAGTTTTTTCTTATTGCTATCTGTAATTTTATGTGTATCTTTGATTGTTTAGATATGTTATGTATCATATCTCTTCCGCAAACAATCTTTAAAAATTTGTATTGATCTTCTTTATCTATATATATATATATATTTTTTAAAGTGAAAGATATTGTATTTGTATTCATCCCCCCCCCCCTTCTACAAACTGTTACTTATAAACTCTTGTAGATCCGACTGGGACCAACAAGTGGTATCAGAACAATGTTTGATTTTTGTGTTGTATTGTTATTTTATTGGTGTTTTATTATCCCTTCTTCTCTAGATAATTTATTTAGCTTTCAAAATGGTTTTGCAAAACACTAGCACAAACTTTCACGACAATGGTGTTAGGTCACGGGATCTCAAGCACAACGGAAAATAAAACCGTAACCGTCCAAGTACCCATACGAACCGGAATAAATCGGTTGTTTCAAAATTATACCTCACAGTTAGCGAAACTTTGAATCACAGCGACAAACAAAGCTTGATGCCTCCACGGTATCCACGTGAACAATCCGAATCCTTTGCCTTGTCGTGATGCTAGTCACGGTTTCAAAACTTAGAAAGAAAAGGGAGCATATTGTTGTAGGTGATTTTGAGAGAAAATTGCAAGACTAAAACTACTAGCATAAAAATGTCATACATTGTATATGGATGTGAGAGGTATGGCCTAACCATCATCATGCCTCCACCATGCTTGAGTGTAAGACTTTCATACACCATCACTCTCTTACAAAGTCCATCCCTAGTCATCTTTATTTATGTCCAAGATAAATAATATCTGATTTTATTTAATCAGATTAAATCGATACAAATCAGATATGATAATTAAACATTTTAATTATTGAAACTCCTTAGTCGATTATGTTCAAAGCGTGTGACCTAATGTGTTCTCGACATGTTGGTAATAAATATAAATCTCATATTTATAGTTATAAACGATGACCGGTATCTAGCAATACATCACCATTACCCAAATGATGAGAATTGGTGATACAACAAATTATAGGTTTGTAGTCAATTTTAGTTTTACACATTTAATTATTTTGACCTTGATGTCCAGATTGAACATGAGACATTGAATGTGTCATTCTCGTTATGTCCAATCTCTAGTTTCTTGATTCCCTAATATACTAATAAAACTAGATAATGATATCTCATATCAATTATCTAAGCATGCATGCATTTCTTTAGTATATATTTATCAAGTGGCCGAGAGACATCACTCCCGTCATAAAGGAGGGACAAATCATATCTCGATACATGCTAATTCTATCATGTGATATACAACATACCCAACTATCATTCTGTCACCCAGTTACGGAATGATTAGAATAAATGTCAAAATACGTTACTCACACATAACAAACTCCATGTTCTCAAGTCAAAGAATTACATATACATTGACCATATGAGAAACACTTACGACACTCACAATTATAATCATCATATGATTGGTTTTTAGGCATTCACTAACAAATGGCTCCCTTGCCAAACCTCCTCGGTTTATCAGAGACAACTTCAATCTCTGGAAGAACCGGATGTCTCTCTTCTTGGAAGGTGTGGATCCTGAGATTCCATACTATATAGAGAATGGACCTTATGTTCCATCTGCTATCTCTCCAGCAAACTGCTACTGCTATGATTGTCGCGATTCCTGAACGGCAGATTACAAAGCTCCCTCATCAATTGAGAGATGAAGACAAAAATAAATTGGTTTTAAATACCCGTGCGAGATCTATAATAGCCATAGCTCTTCTTGATGAGGTATATCATTCTGTGATGAAGCTTAAAACCTCATAACCATGTGGGACACTCCCTGTGTTCAATATGAAGGTACTTGTGAAGTACAAGAATCGAGGAAGATTTATCTAGTAAAACAATATGAAATTTATTTTTGTCTAAAGTACACCAACGATTTAATTGTCTTCTTATTGATTTACGGACAGTTGAAGAGAATATTCCAACTCAGATACACTTACAAAATTCTTTGAATGTTTTCCAGAAGCATGTGATAATTATATCATGTGTCTCAAGATGTCCAAGGGCATATCATCCCTTTATATCGGTTCTCTTTATGGGATATTGCTTAATCATGAGCAATCCATTCAGTTGAAGAAGAATCTTCTAAAAGACTCCAGGGAAATGAAAAGCTCTCCGTTAGCTTTGATCTCTGATAGCCTTTTAGATGACCCTTCTATTTCTTCTACACCCTCCTCTTCTGTTTCTATCACTGAGTTTGATCCTTCTAACTCTAAGGATTTGACAGATGTTGATCTCACAGAGTTTGATGAGTCGCTGGCTCTTCTAACCAACTCTTTCAGAAGGTTCGCCAGAAAAAGCAACTACCGCAGATCTCCTTCCATAACCATAACTGAAAAGCCAAGGTCAAACCTTATTGATAAGGCTTCAGCAAGCTGCTACAACTGTCAACACAAAGGTCACTTTGCTAGTGAATGCATGTCGAAGAAAGCTGCGACGCCATCTT